TAATTGGCAAAAGAACCAGAAGGGAAGGGAGAAGAATTTTTTTTACCCAAAGAGTTGTTACGCTCTGGAACACATTGCCTGATAGGATGGAGGAAGCAGATTCAATAGTAGCGTTCAAAAGGGAATTGGATAGGTAATTAAAAAGGAAAAATATGGAGGGTTATGGGGTAGCAGTGGGGGAGTGGGACTATGGACCGAATGGCCTCCTTCTGAGCTGTAAGATTCTATGAGTCTATGATTGATTGTGTTGCATCAGCTTTCAGCAAGTGTACCTCTGGCTGAAAAAGCCAAGGTAAGTGCCTCGTCATTTAGTTTTTTCACGTTCAGTCGAGGTTTTACAACTTAAAACTTCATAGATTCGAGCAGCAGATGCTACCGAAAAGAGCAGCCCTCGAAAGAGAGCAGAACGGGGATGTGTTAGCATCATTGCTAACTTACTGCCAATCCAAAATTATTCACGGCCCAATTTGACCTGGCACTGGCTGCTGGGAACCCGGTTGTTAATGGATTGGCGGACCGCTTTTTTTGAAGGGTAATAAGTCCTTACATTTTTTTAAAATAATAACACGGTCACTCAATCCACTGCTGCTTGTGGGACTCTGCTGTGCGCAATTGGCTGCTGCGTTTCACCCACAGAATACACAGTCACTGCACTTCACTTTTATATTCAGTGAAGCACTTTGAGACGATTCAATAACGTGACAATGCACTGTATCAAATCCAAGGATTATTATTATTATTTTATTTCACCAAGGGAACACAGCACCCGAATATTCACTCGGCAGTGAAACTTTCAACTGGGGTATTACCATTCCCTTCCCTCTACCCCTGGCTCAAGGTCAGACTCCGCCACTGTCAAGTGCTCCGGGACACTACCCCGCAGGTAGGGCTGTATAAATGCAAGCTGTTGAAGACTTTGCCTTCGCTCTCAACAGGTAGATTGCGGCAGGGGGGTGGGGGGGTGGGGGAGGACAGGCGGTGGAGAGAAAGGGAAAGGAAGTCTCTGGTTTACTGCAAGCCCTTTTCATTCTGAACACGGCCGCAGCAAGCTACAGAGGCAAAGAAAGATCGCTCTCCAAAAAAAGGGCCTATGGATGTTCTGCCACTTTTCATTACAGGTTGCTGGCTATGTTGGACTTGCCTCTCCAGGCAAACTCTTCAACGTGAAAGTGGCAAGAGTATAAATAGTACTTTGATTTTGTGAGTCTCTCTCCAGAGCCAGCTAGTTTTGTGTGAAATAGTGAGTTTTCCCTGCTTCACATCTCCCAAGAACCCCTGAGGTAGCCGCGTACAGGAGATGTGAATCAATAGTTGGGAGTTGGGAGCGAGCAGACTTGGTGAGGTTCAGCACACGTGGGGAAATCACACAAGTATGTATCATAGGAACAGGAGTAGACCATTCAGCCCCTCGAGCCTGCTCGGCTCTTCTGTAAAATCATGGTTGATCTATGCCTCAAGTCCAAATACCCGCCCTTGCCACCTTTAAAACATGACTTCAGCACAGTTTACATTTATCCAGCGCCTTGCGGGTCAGGAAGTCTCTGGCTGGGCCCAGGGAGAGGAAAGACTACTGAAAGCACAATCGAAGAGGTAATGTTGAGACGTGCCTTGAACGAGGTGAGAGCGCAAGGCTCTGGAATGGAGCTCCAGAGAGTGGGGGCAGATTGGCTGAAAGCCAGGCTTCAACTTCAGCATTCAGGGACACTGCTGTGAGCATTTGACTGCTGCATTTTGCCCACAAAATATGCAGTCAATTGACTTTACAGTATATTCTGTGAAGCGCTTTAAGACATCTCGAAGATGTGATAAGGCGCGATATCAAATGCAAGGATTATTATTTTGGCATATCATTTACCTCACTCAGCCGGTCCCCAGAGACCCATATGATACACTAACTGCGACTCCTGTGACAAGCTAGTTAAGTGTTAATGCTACAATAATTAGGATCCAATGCAGCTTGAACGCAATAATGGTTCTGGAATAAAGGGTTAACAGAGAGACGTCTGCCACAGCTGCTGGCAAGAGTAATGGCGTAGTTAGCTTGTGCCTCCTGGGCTGGAGACCTGGAGACGTGCCAAAATTGGCCGCAGCTCTCAATTCCCTTCTGACATGCACTGCTTTCTGCACGCACTTACATAATAATGCCTTTTGCGCAATGACACAGGTCTAGTTGTGGAGCATGCCTTGTCTGCCGCCACCGGCACCCATTCAGCACTCACTGGCCGTGAGCCCAATGTAAGGACGGACAAAGTGCCTCGGGCCACCTCGGTCATTTTGTACAAGTAGCGTCCGTTCTATCACATTTCAAGAACAACTGGCATTTATACAGCGCCCTAAACGCCGGGGGCCGTCCCAGAGCGCTTAACAACGTTGGAGCCCAACGCCGAGCCAGGGGGGAAGGGGAAGGTGACCGTAGGCACAGTCGAAGAGGAAAGTCTTCAGGCGCAATCTGAAAATGGGGAAATGGGGGAACAAAGTGGAGGGACTGAGGGAGGGAGTTCCATAGCTTTGGGGCATTAGCTTTTAATAATAATAATAATCCTTGCGTTTGATCTAGCGCCTTATCACATCTTTGAGGTGTGTCAAAGCGCTTCACAGAATATACTGTAAAGTCAATTGACAAGCACTTGTAACAATAACTTATTATTTTATTGTGAACAGGCGATTATTACCCTTGGAAAAGTGATCCCCCAATTGACTTAATAACGGATTTGTACTTACTGCGAGGTAAACAGAGGCGTGTGTGTGGAGTGACATTTCGCCCCACCTGGGAATCGAACCCAGGTCCTCTAGGTTCTACAGGACTCTACCCTCTACCCACCAGGTTCTACCCACTATGCCACAGGACTCCACAAATCCTGTTGGTGGGGAAAGGCAAATCGAACCTCATTCATAGACCATATGCCCTTGTTCTTGAATGAAATCAATGAACTTCCTTCACAGAGCTAATTGTGTACGAATGTGCGCATAGCGTCAGTTTAGCCAAGTGGAGTTTTTAGCATTGCTTCTGTGCTGATTCACGGCGCTTTACCCTGCAAGAGCAAAACCGTGAGAAAGAGCAGGGGTGCACAAGATAGCAAGCTGTGTTCTCGTTCAGTCCTCAGAACAACCGCTTTCTATTTTCTCCTCCAATCTGTTTCAAGCACCAGGGAACATCACGACTGGTACAAGCAGCTGCATTCGGCTGAACGAATCTCATCAGTGTTTTATGTGCATAAATTCAAAGAAATGGGACTCTCATCTGTTTCAAGTTCTCTTTTTTTTAAAAAAAACAAACAACAATCTTGTGGAGCCCTGTAGCTTAGTGGTTAGAGCGCTCGCCTCGCAGGCGAGAGGATCTGGGTTCGATTCCCGGGCAGGGAGAAACGTTGGGCAAGTTTTCTTACTCCACACGCCTCTGTTTACTGAGCAGTAAGTAGGTACCTGGTTGTTCTTCGATTAGCAGATCGCTTTTCTGGGGGTAATAAACTCTTCAAAAAAAATATTAATTTGGTCACTCAATGCACTTAATGGGACACTGCTGCGCACAATTGGCTGCTGCGTTTCACCCACAAAATATGCAGTCAATTCACTTCAAAGTATAATCTGTGAAGCGCTTTGAGACGTTTTGATGATGTGATAAGGCGCTACATCAAACACAAGTATTATTATTAAGAAGATAGTGTGGGACGAGATGCCGAGTGTCTCGGGATTGGAGAAGCAGTGTTGTGAGACGCTCAAACACCATCCAGTCAGTTAATACAGCTCTCTCTGTTGAAGCTCAATGACTCCAAGTCATTTGTCTCGAGATCATCAGCACCTACTGCTTGAACAAAAATATGCAGTGCCATCAGCTGCTTTGCTGTATAAAATAACTTTCTCACGCAGGCCCAACCAGCTGATGACACTGAATATTTTTGTTCAAACAGTAGGTGCTGATGATTGAGGCAAATGGTTTCCAGCCCTGACTGCAGCACTGGAGGGAAGCTGGACCAGCAGCAAGAGATGGAATCAGTCGGCCTCACTGAGCTGGAGTGTTTGATGGAGCGCTCTCCATTACGCGCTCTGAGACTCTACCCTGCGTGAGGGGCACTACAGAAATGCAAGTTGTTATTCCTAAAGCCTCAGACACTTCCAGGACGTGGAAGATTAAGGAAAACTTTCAACTTTCTCAACAGAAAGACTTGGAGATGTTTTCAGTGTAATTTGAAGAAATGGAGATTGGGTAGCTGAAGATTTGGAACCATTTGAGGTATTGTAATCCTCTCTCGATTCATGAGCATTAATAGAGACAGCAGCTGTGGTCAGTGAGGGATGCACATTTCATATCTGTTCATTACAGAGCCAGTAATTCAATCCTTAATGTGGGAACTCACTCAGTCTCAGCATTTAATGAGAACTTACTCTGGCCAAGGATTCGGAGGCAGAGCTTATTGTAGAACAATATTCCCCCCATTGTTATTGTTCTGGGAAGCTGGGAAGCTTCTAGTGATAATAATCCTTGCATTTGATATAGCGCCTTAACATAGCTTTGAGATGTCTCAAAGCGCTTCACAGCATATACTGTAAAGTGAATCGACTGTATATTTTGTGGGCGAAACGCAGCAGCCAATTGTGCACAGCAGCGTCCCCACAAACAGTCATGGATTGAGTGACCAAATTATTTTTATATGAAGGAATTAGCTGAATGGCAAAGAGCACTGAAGGGCACATCTGCCAGCCATGGGCCACAGACCACCCCATTTGAGCAGTCACCTTCAGGAAATATAAAGCAAGTGATAAACTGTGCTGCTGAGGCCATAAGCAGGGAAATGCCACCACAGCTTAGAGCCTCCTCATCACTTGAGTGTCTGGACTTTGATGGGGAAAAGGCAAAAAACATCTACAATGATCTAAAACGTTGGGAAGCATCTTGACATCCTGAATGGCCTCTTCTGCTCCCGGAAAAACACACACACATACACAGAGCAAAACACACTTGAACAGACATCAATGGTGTCTCCAGGTTTCTCCCGCCTTACCTTTTTGCCGATCAACTTTTTCCGTAGGAATTCTCTGGCCTCAAACATGTAAGGAATGTCGTAGAGTGGACGCAGCTTCCTACGATCCTGAGGAGAGGACAGAAGCCAGGGAAGATCTGGTTAAACTGGGAACTGTAGATTTTCTTTTCAAGTTGTCATTAGCAGTTAGGTTCCGTCAAATAATAACAATAATCCTTGCATTTGATACAGTACTTTATCACCTCTTCGAGACGTTTCAAAGCGCTTCACAGAATATACTATAAGGTGTAGTGACTCTATATTTAAAATTAACCCCCCCCTAATACTGTTCCTTATCAAATGATAGCGCTGCTTTTAAATCAATAATTTGCATTTATATAGTTTTACTAACACAGGGTAGCGCCCCAGAGCACCTGATAGTGGTGGAGCACAACACCAAGTTGCGGAGGTGGGGGTGACCGCAGGCACGGTTGAAGAGGAAAGTCTTCAGGTGCGATTTGAAGATGGGGAAGGAGGGGGTGAGGTGGGAGGGATAGAGAAAGAGCGTTCCAGAGCTTCGGGGCATAGTGGCTAAAAGCTAGGCCTCCGATGGTGGATCAGAGAGCACGAGGGACATGCAGGTGGCCAGACCAGTCGAGCGTAGGCAGCGGGTAGTGGATTGGGGAGTAAAGCAGGTTGGAGAGGTAGGAAGGTGCCAGGGCATGAAATCAATTTTAACTACTGGCTTCTCATTACATAAAATTTATAGGCCTTTTATTAAACACATCGCAAAAATACCCCTGCTCAGCAGCTACAACATAGGAACCAGGCTACAATGGGCAGAGTTTGCACTGATGGCCTTTGTTTTTACAATCCGACCTCATAAATATCAGCAATTCCAAATCCTATAGAAGCCACATCTCGTTAGGATAAAATGGCAGAGTCTCCTTTGAGGAACTTGTATAAAGCTGAGTTTCCAATTTTTTTTTTGCTAGCCGGGTGTCTGACACATGCGGAAACCTATCACCGTGCTTAAAGGCTATCCAAACCAAACTGAGAATACCATGCATCCCACCTACACATGGAAATCCCAGAAGTAGATTGGAATGAAATGCGCTCTCTCCCCGGAGGGACATTTCCTGTTTACCTAATCCCGGAGAGTACTAGGTGCAGGTTGACAAGAGCCAAGGCTTGGGGGGAACCCCAGAGTGTGTGTTGGGGTAACTGCTGGAGTAGAAGCAGCTAAAACCGCATAGCTTGCCATTGATATTGATATGAATTTCCTACTTCATTAATCCAAAGGTAAAGGCTCATTTTACTATAAATACAAGTCTCTCTTCTCCCCTCCAGTGAAAACCACAGGCTCCCTTCACTGCTCAACACGGCACAGATTTCAGCATGCTAAAGGTCAATGAAATAACCTTGGTCTTCACGTGCACAGATATCTACTGTAGCCCCTGCTGATTTCACGGCCTGAGCAACCTCCCTGCTCTCCTTTCTAGTGTATGTACCACTAGAATTTGTAATAATATAACTGCTGATTGCATTTGACATAGAGCCTTATCACGTCTTTGAGACGTCTCAAAGCGCTTCACAGAATATACTGTAAAGTGAACTGTTTATTTTGTGGGCAAAACATAGCACCCAATTGCGCACAGCAGCGTCTCACAAAGAGTTGTGGACTGTGTGGATATTATTATTATGTTTTTTTAAGGGATTGTTACGCTTGGAAAAGGCGTCTGTCAAATGACTGAAAACCAGCTTCCTACTTACTGCTAGGTAAACAGAGACGTGTGGAGTAAGGAAACTTGTCCAACTTTCCGCCACTGCCCTGCCTGGGAATCAAACCCAGATCCTCTCGTTTGCGAGGCGAGCGCTCTAACCACTGAGCTATGGGACTCCATTGTACCAAGTTTCAAGAATCTGCATTCCAAGATATTTAGAAAGGATTAAAAAGGTCACATTCACACATATTTTGCAGCAACACATTAAAAGGGAGCCATATGCTTTGATTTGGCATTTGTTAGCATTGCCGTTTCACTAAAAATCTGCAATTAACGTTACAAGCAGAGCAGCCAGGCTGTCACCCAAGCTCGGCTGCCACTTGCTAGGTGGGTGGGCTGTGCAGGCTACAGCTGGACTCTGCCTGCCAGCCAGCACGTGGTAACCTGCACAACATGACAAAGCTTTACCCTGGTATCAGTGAGACATGTTGCTTTTATAGATCAGCCAGCCAACTGTTCCCAACACAAGTGAAGCTAATCCTCACTCAACAACTGATTGAGACATTTTAAAATAACGAGGGGAATTGACAAGTTGGATAGGGAAAGACTTTTCTCTCTACTGAAGAAAGCCAAAAAAAAACTGACAGTCTTAATTTTAGAATTAGATTGTTGGTGGTGAGCGGAGTACATGGAAGGCACTGTATAAATGTAAATTGTCGTCGTTGTTGAACACACTGCTGCACACCAGAGGCAGAATCAACTGCAATGTTTAAAAGGGAGATAGGTCCTTGAGAAGGACAAGGTATGGAGGCTGGGCTGCAAACACTGACACAGGTCCCCAGCATTAACCTTGAAGACATGAATATGCCCTTTCAGATACTGTCCTGACAGCAAACACTCAATCATCATGATAATAATCCTTGCATTTAATATGTGCCCTGTGGCATATTGGTTAGAGCACTCTCCTCGCAAGTGAGAGGACCCAGGTTCGATTCCTGAACAGGTCGAAACTTAAGGCAAGTTTCCTTACTCCATACAACTCTGTTTACCTAGCAGTAAATATGAACCTGGTTGTTAGTCGATTGGCGGATTGCTTTCCGGGGGTAATAATCACTTCAAAAAATATATAATTTGGTCACTCAATCCAAGACGACCGTTTGCGGGACACTGCTTCGCCCAGAAAATATACAGTCAGTGCATTGTCTGAAGCGCTTTGAGACATCTCAACGACGTGATAATTTGCTACGTAAAATGCAAGGGTTATTACTACTATATTATATATCACTTAAAGACAAGGTATGAGAGGGTGGGCTGAAAACACTGACGCAGGTCTCCAACCCAGGCAGAAAACACTCAAATAATCGTTGCGGTTGACATAACGCTTGATCACGTTGTTGAGACGTCTCAAAACGCTTCACAGGATACACTATAAAATGGATTGACTGTAAATTTTATGGGCGAAATCATAGAATTATATAGTAGATCCAGCCATTCAGCCCATCAAATCTACACTGGCAATTTCCTCTGCATGAACCATCAGTCTAGTCCTGCTTTCCAATTCACCATTCCTCATACCTTTAATATTTTACTTTATCAAGCTTTTACTTTCTTAAAATAATTGCTGGACTTTGGTTCATCAATGGTTTGTGGCAATGAACCCAAGCTCCCTCTGTGCAAGTCATTTTTTCCTACCTCCACTTTAATTTTTCTCATTAGTGCCTCATCGACCATGGCAATAAGCCATCACTATTTACTCTGCCAGAACCCTTCTTAACCTTGTAGAAACCTCTATCCAATCGTCCCTTAACCTTCTCGGCTTTAGAGACAAGACTATTCCACATTCTCCATCGGAAATCTATCTTGGTGCAAAGGCCAGAGACAGAGAAACGTACACAAACTAAAAGTCTCAAAGGATTAAAGTGCATCAGTAAATAGAATCTAGATCAGTGGCATTCTCCCATCGCTATCTTGCTACAAGTCTGCGTAGATTTGTTGGAGAGAAGTCTATAGACACCACCACGCAATCTTCTTCCCTCTTCACTCGGTGAAGCTGTGGAATGTCAAAGTCAGTTTGGAGCCTCAAGTAGAGTTTGCTGGGCTTCACTTCACTTCACTGGAGAATTCCTGGCCTTGGGGGCGAGTTCCTTTACTGGCGTAATTAATAAATCATCGAGTCCATGACAAGAAAAGAAAAAGAAACAGATATCACAAAACGCAGTCTGTGAGGCTTAGAAGGACTTGGCTTCAAAGCAGCTGCTTTCATCAAAAGATGCATCAAGCTCCTCTTAAAAGCTGGTACAGAACTCCTCACAATGTTTTATAAACAAACTCAATCCCTGAATCTATTTTTTAACAGAAGAAAGAGTAAAGTATCATACCAAGACGTTCACTCGACGGGGAGAGAGCACTCCACAACGAACCTCATTAGCAATATCACAACAGAGCACAGCAGGAGAGTGGCATCTGGGTCAATACAATCTGACACTCCAAAAGGTCTTCAAGCCCTTCATTCAGGTGCTCCTTTCTTCTCTCCCCCTCCCTCCCCCCGCCCTCATGTAAACATGCAAGCTCTGCAAAACAATGGCAACCCATTTACTGAGGGGCGTTATTAAGCTCTCAATTATACTCAATTGTGGAGTTCTGTAGAGTAGTGATTAGAGCACTAGTCTCGCAAGCACAAGAGAGGACCCGGGTTCGATTCCCGGGCAGACTGAACGTTGGGCAGGTTTCCTTACTCCACACACCTCTGTTCAACTAACAGTAAGTAGGACCCTGGTTGTTGGTCGATTGGCGGATCGCTTTTCCGGGGGTAATACTCCCTTAAAAAAAACAATAATTTGGTCACTCAATTCAATGTGGGACACTGCTGTGCGCAATTGGCTGCTGCGTTTTGCCCACACAATATACAGTCAATTCGCTTTACAGTATATTCTATGAAGCGCTTTGAGACCTACCCTGGGTGGAGGACGCTATATAAGTGCGAGTTGTTGTTGTCTCGAAGAGGCGCTATATCAAATGCAAGGATTATTATTATTATTATTATACCCCCAGATAAAATTGGTCACTCACCTCAAGGGTGTTTATTGGTCCCTGCGCGTGAAAATTGGCTGCCATCTTTGCCGACAAATGCCGTTACTACACTTCACAATAAAATTCACAGTGAAGCGCATTGAGACCTCTCAACGACACATCAAGGAGCTGTGTCAAATACAAGGATTATTATTACTTCCCGAGAACAGCTAACTCAGTAGAAACAAGAGACCTTTTCTTAAAAATAACAGTCAAAGCTTTCACATTTCATCTAGGTTTCCCTCTGAAGGGTTCCAAAAATAATGACTGCTGATGATGAAGCAAAATGACTAAGTTCAGCAGAGTCAGCACTACTCAGTGAGAGCAGAAACGGCC